AGGGGGGGGGGGGGGGGGGGGGGGGGAAGAGTGGATGAAATAACGTCATAGAAATCTCACTTTTTCTTTCTTTCTTTCAAAATGAAAATACTTTGAAAAGACTCCAATGATATTCAAATGACAAGAAAAGATTGAGGGTGACGAGGGGAGCAAATTAGTTAGGAGATCTTTGGCATTTTTCCTCTTTTTAGCAAGTTTTTCAATTGAAATTCGTTCATTGACTTGTTGGAATATTGTGGAATCTATTATACCCATAAATTATGTGGTATACACGTGACAAAGGAAGATCCACATTGATCGACCTGACATCGGCTATTGAATTGATTGGACTCATTTAAGTAAACAATTGCATATGGAGCTCAGCCCATCTCACTAAATCACTTGACCCATTTATATTCTAAGGTATTTTTCTAATTCTAATCAAATTTCCTCCCCCTCTCTTGTATTCATATTTGTCTTGTCTGGCTGTTGATTTGATCGTTGGAGTGTAAACGGTGGCTGAACCTTTTTCTCGACCATTGACCTTTGCCTTCTAACGGGGTACTCAGTATGCAAGTCATGTCTACATGGAGGGGACGTGATCGGATTCTGTTAGCACAATTTTTGGAGGGTCAACAGAATCCTCACCTGAGATTAAATCCGTTCTCTTTATTTCTTAATCTCTATGATTGTCTTACCAATAAAAATTAAACACGTGATTATAAATATACAATGTTAAAATTTTAGCAGGAAATTTCAACTTTGAAGAAAAATATAAAAAAAAATATATCACACTAAAATTTTTGACACTTTAAAAAAATATATGACACTAAGATTTTGACACTTTAAAATTTTGACACCCTTCTTAACAGCTTCTCACAATAGGGGGTGAGGAGAGAAATTTTTTGTCTTTTTTAATTCATATGGATCCTACTTGAGTTCCAACTCATGTGAGAGTCTGTCAAGCATTTTGTCAATTGGTAAAGTAGATAATTCTTCAAAATTACAATGATATATTAAAGTTTGATTGATGGGACAATGAGACAAGGAAATAGAAACCGTAGATCTGGACCTTTCTTCTTCCTTTTGGTGGATTCAATATTTACTTTTTTTTAATCTTGGTAATTTTGACGTCATATTTGGGTTGTGTTCTGAGCCAGCGTCGGATCCGAGATTTTTCAAACTTGAGCTGGATTCTAAAGTCGAGCCATCAAATTGTGCTGTACACTCCATTTTTTTATTTTTATGTTTTTTACTTCATAAGGGTCTTCCGGAAAGTTAGAAATTATATAAAAGTCATTGTTAGCAATTAGCGTGCACATTAACACAAAGAACAACACAATTTTTTTCGTACATCTTGCAAACAAATTGTAAAAAAGTACAAAGTCAACTTTTTTAGAACAAATATACATAAGGTTTAAAAAATAAGGATAGGTGTTAAGCATGTGTTGCTAGAGGTGCTTCAAAACAAAGGGCATTCCAATTGCAGCCGCTAGGGTAGGGTCGTATCCCAAATTTGATGTCAAGAAAATTTAAGAATGTCTTTTTTTAAGGAGTTTTTGAGAGCAATAAGAAATCAGACAATTTTCTAGGATTAAATGAACATTTCTCTTTCATATTGAATCCTCGAAGGTGTGCTTACTTGGTGTCAAATCAGCTCGACACTTAAATTTTGGACAAGTCTTTAAAGAAGAAAAGATGTGAGAGGAACGAAGATACGAGAACAAAAGTAAGAATATAGCAGAAAAATTGATTTAATTTAATTTAATTTAATACTTGTTAAATAATTCTCTAAAAGTTCTAAATCTAGAAAGGCATCAATTCTATTCATTTAAGATTTCCTGACACACTTCAAGTGAACTCTGTAAATACAAAATTCTAACTTTCGTCAGACAATTACCGAAACTATTAAGCCACTAGAAAATAAATGAACGATTAGTTGAATAGTTATACTTTAGTTAGAAAAAAAATGAATTATTATTTCTTAAGTAGTGAATTACTAATTGTACATTGTACAATATGTTCAACCTAAAATGGTGCTTAACTTTGGAAACAAATTCAAGAAAGCAAAACTCAAAAAGGTGATGATGAAGATAAAAAAGATATCGGGTTATTAGTGAAGGAGATTGAGAAATGGAAGAAACATGAAATGGAAACAAGAGAATATATACGGTAGTGATGAGGCTTTACAACTCGTGAGCCGATTTCTAATTTTTCATTTTTCTTTTCACTTTCTCTCACATATTTTTGTTGATCTAATTTTAGACATGATTTGTTTATGTACTCATAACATGGAATTTGAGAATTATGTTATACCAAGGACAATTGTTGGGGATGCCCAATTTTTACATGGTTTAGAATGTATGATCAAGTTAGAATAGAGTATAAGTTTTTCTATTTCTTTAAAATCTTCGAGCCCAACTTGTATGATATGGTAAACTCTTTAGACAAAAATGTAATTATAAAAAAGTTTTAAAAGTCAAAGAGTCAATTAGTAGGTTGTGTAGATGAACTAGGAGTTCTTGAGTTTATTTATGGAACAAGGAGAAAAAGTTGCCAGAATTATGTTAATCTGTCGCCAAATTGATGCTCAAGCGCTCAAAACAGTGAAGTTGCCACTGGCCTATTGTTCGAGCAACGCACCTAGTGTTAGCCTAGTGCTTGAGCGGCAGTGTTAATCGAAAAACCGCAATTCGCAATTTTCAAGAGTTCAATCTATCATATACTACCCCAAAACCGCTAAACTATAGAAACCCAAGCCCCACTTCATGAAAATATTGGTTGAACATTGTTTTGTAAGAGAGATCACATCCTACACATTTTACATACAATTCAATCTTCCATTGATTCAACCAAATCATTGAAAACATCAAATTCACATAATCAAAACACCAAAATCCATATTTTCATAAAATCTGTCAGGGTTCTAAAGATCAAGGATGGTGATTGGAGTTTTGGTTAGAGAAGAACAGATTCGTTCTTGGTGATCCACATAAATGCCTTGGTGATTCTAGTCAGAAGGTCAAAGAGTACTAAAGTTAGTCGAGTTTAGATTGTACTATAAGTCAATTCATTTGTAGTGGATTCTTACTAACTTGTGTCCGAAGCTTAGTGTACATAATTTGTGTACATAGGGGTGTCCATACCCCTAACATGGGATGGGATCTGCGTGAGATGGTCCCCACCCCATGTGAGGGGTGTGGACACCCCTATGCACATAAATTATGTACACCAAGACTTTTTCGGAGTTTTTTTTTTATTATCTCGCAAGGGGTTTTCTTTGTCATCAATTTTGTGATGTTATTTACTTTTCTGCAATTTATCAACTGTGACAATTCAACTTAGGATAGTATTGCATGTGAATTCATTTGAATTAATTAATAATTGTGACTTGTTACTTTTATTAATTGGAAAATTCAAATTTAGCATAAAAAACCTATTCACCCCTCTAGATGTTAGTTGTGTTGAACATTGTTAGTCCAATTGGTATTAGAGCTCAGGTTTTGGCGGTTCTTGGGAGGGCCAAATTGGTTATTAAAGCGAGGTTTGAACAAGGTTGATTGTTTTGGGATGGTGAGTATGAAATTTTATATTCCACTTTCGACCGCAACACTATTTTTTGTTATGGAAGATTTTTGTTTGGACGCTAGAGGGGAATCAACATAAGTAGTTGTGATCTTGTTCCTCGTGGGAATAATTCAAGCAAATTTGTTAACTCGAATTGGGTTATTTATGAATTTAATGATTTTGTTGTTCATGGTGATTCAAGCAAGTTCGGTGCCCAAGGTAATTCTGCTCGTAAGCAGTAATTGGATTCAGTTCACAGTATGTAGTTGAGTATGCTTGAAGAGACATGGTGAAGGAGGTGGAGTAATTTGGTGGAGTGTTTTGTTTGGTGAATTTTGTTCAAGTTGAAGAGTTAAGTTCTATTCTTTGTAGTGAAATTCATTTCACGATAGAGTTTGTTAGAATTGGGGACCCGAATTCTTGTTGAGTATTAGATTGAAATTATTGTTGGTGGAGTATTGTGTGTTGATAGTAAACTTGAAGATGTTTTGAAGGAGTCCAAGGTGACTTTGACTCCTATTTCATATCAAATTTTCCATTATTGGTTTTACCCATTGTATTGGAATTTCAACTTATATTAAACTCTTCATGTATTAATTCTCCTAGTATGTTATGGATTCTTTGATTATAAATATATGTTGTATAACACATATTGGAATTGATCAATGGTTTTCTCAAATTTGGATATCTACGTAAATCTTGGTTTCTTTATGATCAATTATTATCATATTGTTCATATTAGTCTTGTCGTTATTATTTGGTCCAATTCTCAATTTGTGTGCATGCGGTTTGTATTTGCATCGTTTTAAGTTCGTTTGACATTTTGTCTTGATTTCATATGTATGGCATGGCATGCCTTTGCATCATTTGGAGTGTATATTGCTTATTTGCCTCATTTCACACACATTTATACATTTCATTAGTTAGAACTCATCGAGGAATATAGCATCAATAGTTGGCATCTATTGATATGTTAGTATTGTAAACTTGTCACAGATATCGCCTAAAAGAGTAGGGACTGCTGCCCAAACATTGACTACTTCGATCAATTATAGTCGATCTAGATTCATTTCTTCTACTACCCAGGATATTTTTCAATCCCAGTTTTCCTTGCGTCCTGCTTTGGTGGAGCGTAAGATAATAATTTCTGATCTTTCTCTCGACCTTGCTGCCATCTTTACTTCACGTGGATGTTAGCCTTTACTTGTTAAGTTGTCTTCCCCCAGTCTCCTTGTCCAAGAATCTATGCTAATATTCACAATATTAGCGGGTCGAGATTTAAGGTCTTTATTCGATGTAAGACACTAAAGATCAATCTTGACGT